TGTATGCAACAAGAAGGGTTTTAAAGGCTCTTGCTATAACAACACGCTACTTTACCTTGCATTTGGTGTTCATGAGCAACTCATTTGCCTTATTAGTAATGATTATGTAATTGTTTTTATTTGTCTGTTCCTTATAAGTGGTTTATCGGTTGAATGTTAGATGTTAGTAAGGCACTTTAAAAAATATACTAAACAATGCAATTGGACAAACAAAGTATCTTATGCATTTCTAGGTGTTAGGTATAGTAGTGTGAACAAATCCAAAATGTAAATCACTGTAGGTTAGTGATGTAAACATATCTCAGTAGCAATATTACATCAGGTTATAACGGAGTAAATCCATAAAAGTGTAAATCACGCTTAATAAAGTAAAACAATAATCTGGTATACATTGGTTTGGTAATACGTGTACGGTTATATTAGTCTCGAAATCGCGAAGCTACGTAGGCCTACTAGCTACTAACCCTACTATCACACCAAACTAGTTCTCACTACGTTCTCGAAAACGGGCTTCAACTGTGTACGAACGGACTGGACTTACTAAGAACCGTTTGGGATCTATTTACAAACTTCATCGAACGCACTCGAACGGGTAGGTCCTCTAGAACTTGACAATGCTCAAAATGTTCTCGTGTTCGTCACGTTCTACAATTTGAACGAGTGACAACGTACTAACGACGAGCTGGACGTACTACGAACGGAACCGTCGTACTTCAATCCTACTAGAGACGTTTCAACAACGAGTTGAACTGTCTGAGGACGTGTTGAGAACGAGGTAGAACTCATTGCAAACGGGTTTAAACTGATTAAGAACGTATTAAACACTGCTTATGAACGAGTTAGCAAAAATATAGCTATCACACCAAACAAGTTGCCACTGCGTTCTTCAAAACTGGTTTTAAACTGTGTGCGAACGGAAGGAACGTAGCTGCAACTTTCTAAGGACTATTTACGAACTTTATGAACGTTCTCAGACGGGAATATGATTTTAGAATTTTGAATCGATTCAAAGTTCGATTGCGACCATACCGTTCTGTTATCAGGTCATGATGACCTTCTAGACTAAGGGACGCGTTCCACGGCGTTGCACACCGTCGTGATGCGACCTGAACTAGCTACAACTACTAAATAAAACATAACAGTAAACTAGCTACTAGCTACTGAGTAAAAATAACCCTTAACTAACGAATAAAATGGTTAATTTTAAAACAATTTTAACTGTGTATTAAAAGGGTCCCAAATTTAGAGTGCAACATTTGCACAATATTGTGTTTTACCGAGTTTTGAGTTCAGGTAACAGGTGATGTGTAAATGTTGAATTTTACAGTGTGTGTAAAGGGGCAATTAAGTCTTAAAAAGGTATCCAAATGAGCTACTCCCAAGTCTGCATAATTGCCATCACACTGTAATGTCAATCAGTGTAAGGTAGCTCCTTCAGTGTAAAAGAGTTGTAAATCAGTGTAAATAAAAAGAGTTGTAAATGAATGTAAATAGTAAAAGTGCTTATAGGGGCACTGAAGTTTTAAAGGTATCAAATATTAGGTTTTGCAAAATCAACACATGTGTGTTTATAAAACAATTACTGTAAATTAAATAGAACTGTGCATTTAAAAAAAGGGCATGGCACAGTTTATTGTGTGAACAGGTTAATATAGCTATATAGCCAAGCTCAATTATAACCCAATACATACATACATATACAGGGTGTCAAATAAGTCCCGCCCACCTCCCCCCTCTACAGCCAAAACCAAGATATTTGGTACCAAGTGTGATATATCATTGGAAAGGTCTTCCAAAGTTACGTTGATTGGCATATATCTGACACATGTCAATAAATCTCATAAACTTTTACATTGTATCAATTGAGGTGACCATATGCCTAGAAACATGGCAATTTGGCGTATTTTGCAGGATTTTAAGAATCCGGTGTAAGAAAGCTCAAGGGACCAAAAGATGACTAAATATGTTTATGGCGATGAATTTAACCAATTTCTAGATAGGGTTAGATGTGTAGAAAATAGAGGTGCAAGGAAAGTGGTGAAAACATTTTTGTAACAAGTGGAATGCGAAAAAGATTAACTTTTTGACGTATTTCTGAGGTAATATCCTTGTCATTTTGACGCAAAAAAAT